AGATGGACGAAACATAGGTGATGAATTTTGTGTCGACATTGAATAAAAAAAAGAAGAAAAAAAAACGTACCTGACGTATCAGTTCCGCCTTCTGGACTACCGCTGGAATACATTGTTGCTAACTTTCCATCAAGTATAAATCGGAACCATCCATTGCTTCCATTTGATAATTCTAAGGCAGCTGCATCAGACCACACATATAAACAATCACGTCCTCTACAAATACACCAATCTCTCCAATGATAAGCTCTTCCAATTAAAAGTTCTCTTGCATCTTCAATTCTTTGCTCTTCAGATTGATTTGATTCTGCTTCTGGTTCTGGAGCAGCATCTTGTGGTCCAGCCAATGCAGCAACTTTTGAAAATACTCCCAAACGAGCAAAATGTTCTAGAAATTCATCTTTGCCTTTTATCATCAAATCTTGTATCATTTGCAAAACCACTAAGTGTCCATCCTCATCCTCCTATTAAGATTAAAATAAAGATGTTTTATATAATATAATTTTTTACTATTATTAAAAATCCATTTAAATTAAACAAATATTTTTGATCTTTTTTTCTTAACTTAATATAAAATAAAATAAGTACTACACAAATTATTTTATATAACATATCTAGAATTTTTTCATTCAATCATACTTTATATGGCACGAATATAACAGCACAAATCTATGTATGAGCAAAATGATTACGCGATTCATTGAAATCACAAGCAAATGCCCATTAATCCCATCAGCAGGCAGACAGTCAATAGAAGTGGACAACCAGCTTTGTATCTAATCTATCATGATTAACACCTGTTTAGAGCAATTACACTGGCCATTCACTGAAAAATGTATGTGTCCTTTGCTGTTATTATTTAATAAATTTATATTTTCTTCTTATTTCATATTCTATGCAAAAAAAATAAATTGCATATTGATTTCACATATTAATGCATATAAGATAATTCATTCAGAGATCACCACGTCATATTATGAATAACATTTTGATATTGATAGATGATATTATAAAAAAAATTTATCAGCAAAGGAATATAAAACATGCGCATATTTATTAAATCTCACCCTTTATACGGATTGTGTCATAAATACATATTATGTTAATAGTAAATGAAATCTTTGCATAATTATTAATGAGATCAGTAAAAAGATAGTAGGATTTACGAATAGCATGTAGGGGACACAAAGGACGTTTCAACTAGAGACTGGCAAATATACAACAGACGTTACCGTCTTATCAACAATGTAGTTCAGGGAACTGGAAGACTTGCGTGATGCGAGACAACGCAATTTTGGGCCAATTATCGGCTTGAAAGGCGGAGGTGGTGGTGATGGTGCTTTTATCTCAAGCTCCTGTGAACAATCTTAACTAAATCACTAGCATTGTCTGTCTGGCTGCCTGTCTGCCTGCATGAATACTAAAGATTTTAAAATATTAATTAACTTTATAATACTAATTTATATTTATTTGACAGGATCTAAAAAATTTAAATAAACTAAGAAAAAAAGATAAATTTATATAAAAAATATTATAAGTTTACCTCATTATCCAATACATTGGCAATTACTTCTACAAGCATAGCACCACAGTTTCCCATTCTATCAGAACCACATGTTTCAATAAGTAATTCTGGTTGAATATAATGCACCATTTTTCTGATTAAACTTAAACTGGCTTTCCTAACACTTAGCAACATAGATGATTGAAATGTTGCACAAAATACTGGCAATAACCTTTTCAAATATACTGGAGCCATTTCTGGATCACCTTTTGGTTCTGTAAATTCTGCTTCTGTTTCTGGCTTTCTATGTTCTTGATTTGGTAACATCCATTCTCCAGGAGATTGTAATATAGCAGCAACTTCTCTATGTCCTTCATCTACACGTTCTCTAGCTTTATCTAATGGTGTTTTTCCATCTTCATCTCGTAAATCAGGGTTTGCCCCATGCCTAAGTAATACTTTAGCAATAGCCGGCCTTCCAAAACAAGCAGCATAATGTAGACTAGATGATCTTTGACCTTTATTAACATCTGCTCCTCTATCACATAAAAATTCAACCATCTCTTGAGTTCCAAATGCGGATGCCCAATTAAGTAATGTTTGTCCTACATCATCCATGAAATTAACTCCTATGCCTCCAGAATCTATAGCTTCTATTAATGCATCTGTATCTTTTGATCGAATACAATCTATCAATTGTCTGTGAGATTTTTCTCCAGCACTTTCCGGACGTCTAAATCGTGGTAATACAGGTCCTGATGGACCTCCACTTGTATTACGGCCTAATGCTGATCTTCCTTCAAAAAGTAAAACTAATAATAAATCAACTAATCTCATGGAATCAAGAGCACATCTTTCATCTCCTTTTAAAGCTTTTTCAATCGCATCTGGTAGTTCAGAACGTAAAAGGTCATGAGTTATAGAAGGTGATCCCCTGCAAAGTGTTGATAGAAGACTAATTATAGTAGAAACAGATGCACAAGAATTCGCTTCAGGAGTAGGAAGTGTTGAAGCTGTACTAGAAGGTGGAGGTGTTTTTGGATTTCCAGAAGTAGTTGCTATTGATGTACCAGGCCCTGCTGCATTTGATAACCTATGCATAAATACAAATATAAAAATATAAATACAAATATAATATATTTAATTGATATATAGATATCTATAAAAATATATAAATATCTATATAAAATTTATCATAAAGAGATACCTATACAAGAGTTCAGAAACTAATCCATTAGAGGCTAATGGAGCAGGATCTGTGTTTCTTCTTGAAAATCTATCAGCTAATGATGCAAAACAACGAAGTGCTCCATCAGCAACATGTGCATCTTCATGCCTAAGTAATGTTGATAAAGCTTCAACACAATCTGGTAAAGATTTATCTTGAGGTTCTACTTTTCCACATAAACGAGTAACCACAGCCATTGCTGAATGCAGTGTATCTCTATGAACAAGAACTCCATGTTCTCGAATAAAACATAAAGCACATGGAAGGCCACCAGCTTCGAGTACAGCACCAGCTTCTCTTGCACAAACAAGTTCAAGTGCCTACAATAACAATACATCTGTCACATGCCTTATAATATTATATTTAATAACATAAATTAATATAATACCTTTATGCATTGTTCTGCTAGATCCCTACTTGTTCTGGAACCTAATCCAGCTCCAGATAAACGACTGCAAATAGCTTTCACAGCACCTTCCATGGCTATTACTCTGCGTATACATTCTGGAGATAGATCAAAGTAATATGTAATGGCCCGAGCTGTCACTTCTAAAACACTATCTGGTGCAAGTTCATCCAAAAAAATTCTACATAATGCAGGAAGAAATGTGCGTGGGGGACAGCTAAAATGATATTTTTTATTATATTTTATTCAATTAAAATAACAAATATCATTAATATATATAACATACCATTCAAAGCAACGATCAACATTATCAGACATGAGTAGTAACATGCATAATTGCTCTAAAGCAATTAACTGCATGTCTCTTTCATCTCCTTGGCCCATACTCAGCCATTCCAATAAAGTTTCAGGATCAACATCAGCCATCTTAATATATATATATTATAAAAGAAAATGATAAATACTATATTGAAAATATATGTAAATCAGAATATTAAATAAGTAAAAAATAAATAAAAATAAACAAATATTTTTAATATATTTACATTTATAAATTTCTTTGTTGTGTAACTTACCTTGTAAGTTTTATAGCACCAATTAAATGTATTTCAAACTGACAATCTGAAAACAAACCAAAAATAAATTAAAATATAAGTATCAATTATTATTTTATTTAAAAGTAAATACTAATAAATGTCAGTAGAAAATACTTAAACTATACTATATTTAATTTACAAAAGAGCAATAAGAAATACAAAGAAATGAAAATAAATGTATAAAACTTCTTATGATATATCTATATTAAGAATTACATTGACAGCATTCTCCCTCCTTAGTTTCTTCATAGATAATGAAACAAATTCTAGAAAAATTTGAATACATAAATGAATACATAAATCATTGTAAATTAATTAAAGAAATTACGAATATATAATAAATAAATAAAAACACGTGACCATAAATTCACTATCGTAAAATTATAATTGTCGTTGAAGTACAAAGAAAGGTGAAAAAAGTTTGTCATGACGACGGCTGTAAGCGTGACACTATCTTAATAACACTATGTAACCTTCAGGAAATTCAGAAGAACAGTTTCTGTGCAGGTGTACATCATGAATTCAATATGCATAAGAAATAATTATCTATAGTTTGGTAGATACGACCTGCTTACATAGAGAAACGTACCGTTGTGCACAGTATTCCATTATTCGGAAGGGGTCAGGTCGCCATCCTTCCAAAGACGTGTCGTTTTCCACTGCGAAAAACAACGTAACAATATCGTCGCGCTTGGTCCGTCAGCGACACGAAAAATTTATCGGACCAACGGACCAATAAAGCACTCCTCCGCACAAAAAGATCTCACTTTACCCTAGTGTCGTAGTATATATTTCGCCATTTACGCGACGTTCAGTATAGTTAGGTATCACAATTCACAACTCTCCAAAAGTCATGTTTTCATAAATGCGCACGTCGTCAAACTTTTATTGGCTGATTTTCATGAAAACTCGCACAATTATGATTCTATATATGTATATATAATAATTGTTTAATATTGTGCCCCTAGAGAGCGCTATCATTCTTTTCTTAACTACATTTTTTTTTATCAAATAATGTTGTTCATTGTGTGTTATGTACTCAACTATGACATAACAAAAGATTCTTGCTTTTAAAAAACTTTATAGCAAAAATAAATCATACATTTTTACATATTTTTACTATTATATCTTACTTTTATAATGCTAACATTTATACAATGAAATGTTATCATTCTTTGATAAAAGTTAATATGAAACAGTATATATTAATAACATTATTATAACAATATTAATAAATTAAATATTATTTTTTTCCATGGTAATTGTTCAACGAATTTTTTTCTTGTACTCCATTGCTAAAACATTTTAAAATTATTTAAATGTCTTTTTAGACATATAAATATTATATATTTATTTTTATGCCTACCTTGTCTTTCTTCCAGAATTTCTTTCCTCCTTTCGTTGAATTGAATAGGTAAATTTTTTAACATACTTTCAATAAAATTGTCTAGAACTATTGATCTATTCATTGACGATACTGATGCCCTACATATTGGACATTCCTTTCTTTTTTTATTCCATATATTTATACAATATTGACAAAATGTATGCATGCAATTTAATGTTGTTGCTTTCACAAATAATTCTGAACATATTGTGCAAGTTAATTGTTCATCCATTATATCATTAATTTTATTAAGCACACTTTCTTTTTCATCAATTTTAGAAACAACTTGAGTAGGAATTGTTAAATCTATTGTATCTATAATTTGAAATTCTGAAGGATTTTTTGTTTCTAAAAATATACAATTGTCATTTGAATTATCAGAAGTCCCTGCAACTATACATGAAAGAACATAATCAATTTATTATCAATAAAATATTTAATATCTTGTAATATTAATATATGTGTGAAAAAATATATACCACTATTTATTGTTTCTATTTTAGCTTGTTCTTTTAGAGCTTTTTCTGTTTTTTTTAATTTTTCTTCTAAAATTATTTTTTCATTTAACAATTGGGCTTGTATATTTTTTTCTTCTTTAACTCTGTTTTCCATAACATTTTTCCATTTAGTTTGTTGTTCTTCTCTCCATTTTTCCATTTGTTCTTTCATTTTTAGTTCTAACATTTCTTTCTCAAGTTTACTCACATTTAAAGCTTCTTGCCATTTTTGTTTTTCTTCATTCAATTTTTTTTCAAATTCTATTCGTTCATTTTCTAATTTTTCTAACAAATCAGTATACATATTTTGCAAATACTGTTCTTGAACATTACCATGTTTTATTTTATTTTCTAATAATATAATTTGATGTTTCAAATCTTTAGTATCTTCTTTTGTAATATTTTGTTGTCTTAAAAGTTGTTTTAATTGTTGTTTTAATTTCTCTTGTTGCTTTTGTTTTATTTGTAGTTTATCTTTAAGAATATTTTTTTGACATTCCTGATCTTGTGCAAATGTTTTTTGTTCTATAAAAACATTATCTAATATGTTTTCATCTATCTTAGGTTTTTTAACTTTGTATTCATCTTTAAAATCAAGAATAAATATATATTTAAATTTTTCAGATGCACTGAATTGTATGATATCTCCATCATAAATTTTTTGACTCATACCAAATGTTAGAGGAATGTCGTTAACGAATGTAACAGAAGAACTTAAATCTTTGATCGTCCACTCTTCATTTTCTTCATATCTTAAAATACAATGTTTTCTAGATATCATTGCATCCAAAATAATTTCATCATTATCTCTTGCACGACCTATTTTAAACTGTTTAAAATTTAAAGAAAATTTTATTAAGAAAAATTGATTAAAAAGGCACTAGATAAAATGTTTATATTTCTTAATACCTCATTTTTATCAATGTGAATGTTATGAGGAGCACAACCATATTTATTAATTCTCACTAAACTAGGTTCCACTAATTTTTCCTCTGAGTCGTCAAGTTTTATTCTTTTTTCTGCTTTCGAACCTTCCATTATTTAAAATTACTCTTTTGTGAAAGAAAAAATTAAAAAAGAATATTGAATAATATAATACATTCTTTTTCAATTATATTATTTTTTTTTATTAACTATTATAAATATATAAAAATAGTAAACAAAAATATTAAATCATACAAGAACGCATTCAAAATTCTCCATCGAATTTCTCGTCAATATGAAGATAGAAAATAAACTGTCGATAAACATATGTAAACGACATCTTGCGGTATATTTTATATATAACATCAAAGATATATTATATCTCTAAAAAAGATTTTATAAATAAAATATTGTAATTTAAATAAAAAATAAGTTTTATATTTTTTATATAAACAAAGTTTGAGTATATATATATATTAAATATTGTAATAAAGTATATTTAATATATTTTCTAATATTAATAAATGAAAGAAAGATGACATAAAATTTCTTTAATTTATATATTTATTTGAATATTTATTTGATAGGTATATAATACATTAAATTTGCCAGCACAAGTGAGAGAAAACACACTTCTTGGCGAATAATACTTGTTTGTTGTTATATTCGACATCTTCCAATTATTCCTACACTACTGCTACCGAACATACTTTTCTTCTTATCCATGGAACGGAGTTTCATTTTTCTTTTTACTTTTCTTTTCTTTTTTTTTTTTTCTTTTTTTTTTTTTTGGTATCAATTCTTTATACAACTAACTATATTTTTATATAGTAGTTGATTAGTGAGTCATAATATAGTTTCTGTAGATTTGGTGTTGTACATAAAAAGGAGTCTATAGATAAATATATCAATTTATCAATATTTGGCAATTAAAACATGTAACGTTAAGAATATTATTGAATTTTTTTTTTTATATGAAAGATATATTGTGAATGTAATACATTCTTGCGTAAATGTGTTATCGCCAAATGAAATTTTAACGTTACAAAAATCATAATTTTAACATTAATTAATATTATATTTTAAAAACTGGCAAGTAATCGATTTAATGCAATGAACCACAATAATTGTACTGTTCGGTAAGCTGCATATCATTGACAAATAGCTTTCTTCAATAAGCACAGTGAATGGCTCATCAACATTTTTCTTTTTTGAGGATAGGATCAATTTGACAATCGTTATCTATTTACAATATTTGTGATAAAGACTAATTAATTTATAAACATCGTTGTTATTTATGTACAGACGTAATATAAACGCATCATACCTTATAAAATGGACATGTGTAAAATGTTGCGAATCAAACAAACAGTGAATCGGTTCGATTCGGTTTTGAAAAATACATGGCTTGTAATTGCCAATATATTGTAACATCTATAATATAGATTGAAGCCGGCAAACAATTTTCAAACTAAATTAATTGAATTTTTACGCGCATTTTTTCTATCTAAAGAAAAACAATGAATAAAATACAAAAGAACAAAACATGCTTTGATTTCGCTCTATTCATTTTCTATATAAAACAAACACAAGAAGAAGATAAAAAAAATTCTTAATACCTAAGATTGCAAAAAAATATTTTGTAATTACAATGCATACGTATATGTATGTATATTATACATATATATGTTTATATTTAAAATAAAATTGGTACAATGTATGTATATATATCGCAAGTGACTTCTCATTGTGCGATTTTTCATGTATTGAGGTCTCTGAAACAAGGAAAAGATAGAATCGATGCAAAGATACTAAAGTTGGCATAATATTTGTTGGCGTAATATCGCAAAAAGTCATAATTTGAAAATATATCGCAACACCATAAAAAATATTATTTCTAATTCAAATATTAAAGTAAAGACCAACTTTTTTATCTTTGAATAATTCACAAATATACAAAATGATAACAAAACATCATCGAAACTATCTCAGTTTTGGTAAAAGATACGTTTTTCATTTGTTCGCGATTGACGTATAAGTTACAGGTACAGAAGTAGTAGAAAAAGTGCGCGTACAATATTTCAAATAATTATACGTTCATTTTTATAAAAACATATTAATAATTGTTTAGAATAAAGTATATTTCATCAATTTTGATGATTTTGAAATATTTTTTTAAAGTCATTATTTTGAACAACTTTTTCCTTTATATATAGACTTTTTCCTTTTTTTTTATAATCGTCATTTGGTTTTAATTTTCGAATTATACAAAATATTTTTAATACTAAATATATATTTAACACTATATATTTTACAAAAGCTTAATTTATATTTAGCTTAAATTGAATTTATAATGTCTGAAGAATATTCTAATATTTTATTCATTCTATCTTAAGTGCAAATAATTTACTAAAGTAAGTCTATATTAGCATTATCAGCATCATTTTATTTTTTTAAATCATTGGATTCCTGTACAATTTAAAGTAAATAAGACATAATTTGATTGATTTAAGCTTACTTCTTGGGTGTGATATTAGAATGATAAAAATACTTCTAATTGTTGACATAATGCAAATTCAATAATATTTAATTATATGTAAAATATTATTTAAATGTTTTTGTATATTTTATAATTTTTTGTAATATGTAAGTTTAATATACATTGAAATTATTTATTTATTTATTATCAAGTCTAAATGTAACCAAAATCTAATTTAAATTATCACAAACCAAATGTATAATATTATAAATATTTTTATGTAAAATTTGGAAACTAATTTAATAACGATTATAATACATATAAGAAAAAGTTATTCAAAATGAGAACCTTAATATATATTTCAACAATCCCTATTCTAAATAATTATCAACATATCATATTATCTTGGAAATACTTGGAGTAATTGTTACAAAATATTATGGAATTACCAAATAAACTTGTTCCAATTGAATTATATTAGCTCTTCACAATCGAAATATTAAGTATTAAGCGAGAGGACTATGAGAACGTTACTTAATTGGTTTACCCCAAGAAAATTGTATTGGCAATGGAGGAATATCGCTACTCGTGGACGACTCATCCTCGCTACTTGTGGCAGATGTTTCTTCTGAAATCATTGCTTCACCACCTGCTTCTTGAGGCCTTTGACTTGCGCCACAATCTTCAGCGGCTGCCGCGACAGCCGCCGCTGCAGCAACAGCAACAGCCACCGCAGAATTTGTAGTTACTGCTGTTGCAGAAGAAGAGGATGACGAGGAAGTGGACGAAGCTGAAGAAGATGGATCACTTCTAGGTCTTCGTCGAGTAATCGGTGTAGAATTAAATGTAGGCGACCAAGTGGATTCCTCTACTCGTGTGGAATCCGTAACGGAAATACTTTTGGATCTTGTTCTCATATCTACGGAAGGCCTTCTAGGCGTTAATCTGAGCGATCCTTGTCTAGATACTGATGTAGTTGTTTCCGATCTACCCATTTTTGGTGGTGTTGCCAATGAAGATGTATCAGATCCTCCCTTTGAAAATTCATCATCGATTTCCAATGTCCATGAAACCGAATCACCTTTCTGCACCATAAATTTAACCATAGATGAAGACTGCGGACCGTTCTTGTCGGGTGAAAGACTCTGTTCGACGTGTTCCGGGCCTAAAGAACGTGAAAGCCTAGGCGTCAAATTCGCAAGAACGGTCACTACTTCGTTTTTTTGACGCAACCTCCATTGCAGTTCTTCATTACGTTGTGCCAAACGTTTATTCTGCTTGGAAATCTGATGAATCGATTCGTGAAGTACCTCATTATCATGAGATATTTGCCTCTCGAGAGCTTCTTTACATTGAATCTGCGCTTTCAAATCTTCGCATCTGGCCTCAAGTGTGTCCAAGCGTTGCTGTAAAGCTTCTTTGTCCTCGATTTCTCGCTTGATATTATCGAGATCCGATCTCAACGTAGCGTTTTCTTGACTTTTAATCTCTAGCACCGATCTTAAAGATTCAACTTCGGCCGTGAGCGCAGCCCCCTGATCGTGAACGACAGATCTTCTCTTAAATTCCGCTTCCTTTCGTATCAGTTCAGCCTCTTGTTCCGACCGCAATTTCACGATTGCGGCTCGATGTTCTTTTGCAGTCTCATTTAACGAATCTCGTAATCTGACTTCGCATTTGCGCCTCTCTTCCTGTAGAGCCGCTTCCAAGATGGCGATTTGTTCCGCGTGTCGAGCTTCCACTGAGAAAACCAAAGACAAATTTTTCTCTTAGCATGATTGACGTCATCGGAGATAAATTGAAAAACGGAAGAAAAACAAAGTTCGAAGACGAGAGAACGGATTAAGTCCGTTGAACGTGCCAACCTATAATTAACTACGATGAACGTTACGTGGGCACTAAATTGAGCATTTGTGAAACGTGTCTGTGTCCACTTTTGAAAATTCTATCTTTGAATTATTTAGCACGAGGTGCGCGTAGGCATATTAGCCTTGCAGATTTTAATTAACAATTGCTCTACTTTAAAGTTATATTATTCGCTATGACATTAAGTCCATTATGCTTGTTACCCGGAGAATATTATCATATGATGCATTGTATACTTGTAGGCACAAAGAGTATATAAAATATAAAATATACATTTTGTACATATCATATATAATAATAAAATAAAATTATAGATATCATAATCGATATTGTTACTGATAAATAAAAAAGAATCGCGATAAATAATAATGATAATAGGAATACAAAATTTTAAAAATTATACGTTATAATGTGTGTAGACAATGCATTATATTGCTTTCTCATTTTCTCAAACTAAAAGAAACACAAATAATTCTTGGCAAGGCTTACGATCTTCACGAAGCTGGTCCAAGGCTCTCCGATGACTCTCTCTCTCCGATTCTAGTCTATCTTCAATGCCGAGGTTTCTAGCCCTCAATTTTTCAATCTCCGCGCACGAAGACATCCATTCCTTTTTCATATTCTCGCAATCTTTCTTAAGTTTTGGTGTAGAAAATGCGTCCAACTGAATATTAAAATATTAAAATAAACGAATTGAATTGATTTTAATAAATATAGCGTTAATAATTAAAGATTAAATAAAAAAAAGGAATAAATAACGTACCTCATAGGCCAGATATTGTACGGTTATAGAAAGAGCTTGTATAACTTGTTCCGCTCGTTTTACGCGAAGTGCATCATAAGGTATGTCGGTTTGTGCGGCCTGATCTCGCGTCTCTAAAGACGCTCTTGTCACCACATAGCTATTACTGTGCTCCTTAGTTTCGCGATCTGCAACCAATGTCACAGGTCCCAT